AAAGTGCAGTTAGCATCCTTTTTAACGCCGATATCTTCCCTTTTGATATATTCCTTTGCCCCAGTGAGCATCGCACAAGCGTCTTTCATACAACAGTGGGAAGTATAACATGTGATATTTCAAAAGCATAATATCTATTTTTTGAGACGATATTTTCCTACACAGAATCGGGTCAGAATGAGCGGAGTAACTTAAGCTCTTCGGCAGACCGTCGCAACCACTTAGCCTTGTATGCTGTTGCCACTCCCCTTCGTGCTAGATTAACAGTTGGACATCTGGCGCCGTTAACGTGACAACCAGATAGCATCCTGTTTACAGAAGAAGCTGCGGACTGGCCGCGAGAATCACCCCCCCCACGCACACTTTTGTATGTCAGCCATGCGACGTGCTACCGCACAGCGCGTACGGATGCAGCCGGCATTTCGGACGGGTCACACCCGAAGTCGCGATAGGAACGATGTGCGCAGTTTTAAGCTTTAATACAAATACTGGAATGATAAGTGCTCGCATTCTATGCTTGTCTGTTGACGTGCATGTGAAAACGGTTAGCAGGTAGTCCGTCTTATACTCTTCATCTGTGTTTATTCATGTTAAAACACAGGAAACGGGTTGTTCTTTTGATTGATGCATATAAGAAAACTAAGAGAGACCATCTGGCCTTCGGCCATCAACTGCTGGCCATAGTATGTAGGTCTACAGAGCGAAGGAATGTTTGTAAGAGCCACGAGCCAGACGACTTTAAGTATAATAGCCTAATTGACCAAGGCAGTAGGGAGGGGAATGACCATTCCTGACTTTTTAGTCTTCATCAAGCAATCTTACCCAATCCTAGGGGTTGTCACCCCTAAGCCTCGAACCCGAAAACTGTTGGCTTGATCTCCAAAGCCCTGTCCTGTCGGCTGTGATCGAGCATATTTATTACACTAGCTGACGTTAGCCAATCATGCGTTCGGACCCAGCCAGCTCGGTGTGCTTTGGAGTTCTGTCTAGAACCTAGTAAACAGCCTCAACGGGGTAGTTTCATGCGGCATATATTGCTAGATGACTGCCAACCGGACTTCAGCTGGCCCGATTAATCACAACTAGGCGAGTAGTACCCGTGTTACGACCGGTGAACACCGTCCACTGTTTTCATTCACGTGCTGCATTCGCTATTTTGACGAAACGACTAAGATGGAATTTGAAACTTACTTTCATCCATACTTAGTTCCCGCAGACAGAGCCTGATAAACTGTTCATATGCCTTCACAATAGTTTTTTTACATACGAATTGAGGGAGGGTAAGACAAGTCGCGACATCATGTCTGAGTAATTGCACAAGCCGGGTTTGGACATTGATAACTAGTGAGTCAGAAGTGGATATTTAAGTCTCCTTTGTCGCTGCTGGCAATGCTCTTTTGCCTACAATACATGTAACTGAGAGAATGCCGGCGGTGCTAGAGAATGAGCCTAAAGACACAAAAGGACATATGCGTTCTGTAATACGGTTGATTAGCGGCCCACTACCATCGTGACGATTTTGTTAAACATTTGTAAGGCAGGGCAACCCTTACACATATCAGAGGCGTGAAGGGCAGACGAATGGGGAGAGGATAGATTAATACAAACTGTTTCGGGCTTATTCTGCCTTCATTCAGCCAGAGCCGGCACTGACTGGTGCGCACAATAAAATTAGTCATGCACAAGCCATTTTCCTTGTGCCCATGCCAATGTGGGGCACACGGGGAAATTAGTTGGAATCCACGATCGATCTGTCAAAAAGTAATCTAGCTTATAATATAAGGAGGCACATGCAAACGTCCGTAAATAGACTTAGGTGTCTGACATGTAGAAAGTCCGCGTCAGCACGTCAAACTGGCCTGTATCGAGATAAGATATTGAACCCACTAGAGTATTCGCAAAATGTATTTTTTTCATTTTGGAGGCAAGTTTGTGCAGAAAAACTTAAAACACGATTCCAGAAGGATTTTTACTCCCTTTAGACCTGCAGTCGCCATGATTCAGTTGATTGACATTTCTAAATACTTTCTTAATATCGGATTGCCCTTGGAGATACTTAAGGGCTGATTTGAGTTAAGGCAGGGTGTCCGTAGTTTGAAGGCGTTATGGTCCAATGAAAGCGTTGGCTATATTAACAAATGTGTGACAGTCATTGTTGAAGTAAAACTTTGAGGAACGTTCAATTCCCTATAAAAGTGTTCGTGAACTTATATTAGCATTTCGATGTATGCCGAAGCTGCAGAAATCCCTTTTTATAAACTTAGACCCTTTTAACAAAGAGGACATTATGGAAACCTCTACTTGCACCATCATACATTAGCAAGGATACTGGTTAAAAGGTGGCACCCACTAAGTTCAATAAACCCACCTTTCAGAATTCTGGATTGATTCTAATGTGTTGGAAAGATGGTACGTAAAACGACCGGCAAACCTATGCATAAGCTTAGGCATTTTACGTCAACTCCCAAATAGTCGACTTCGGATAGTTTGCGTGCCGTAACCCAAACCACTGGGGCAAACAATTTGCACTTTTGGAGAGAATGCAGACAGTAGAGTGTTGCCCCGGGTGCTAGTCACGAAAGGCCTATCAAAACTGTCAAAACCAAATGAAGATGAAGACGTCCGTAAATAAATAGTGACATGTTGACGGCTACTATCTACCTCCCTCAGACTGCCTGCTGGATGTAATTTAACGCGCTACCTCACTCAATTGTGCTGGGTGGGGCCTATTGATTACTTCTGCCTGTTTCATAGGTCTGATTTGCAGCATTATCCTGTCTGCAAGATGCAATCCACTGCGATGGTGGTTTGTTAGTGTAAAATGCCCACGGAATGGTTAACTGGTTCCCCTCGATATTGACTTAATCTTTCTTGCAAATAAGCTCGACACCAGGTTTTTAGCAAGAGTACCATTCCGAGCGCACTACATCTATTTCGCTTTAAGTGGGTTAATTAAATTGGTGGGCTGCAAATTTGGCCAGGTGAGGAGTGAATTTCGGCTGTTTACGAGTGGTTTTGCTAGCATAGCATTTCGTACTTTAGTCATATAAAAGTTAAGAACATGAAACTGTTGGTTGTACCCTGACCTTGATAAAGCGTGGCTCCTTAGAGGAGTGTTTATGCACAGGCTTAAATCATTTTGGTTCCTTTTCTGGTTAACTATTAAGAATATAAATTTCATACTGTGCGACAGTGCACAGTAGCCAACTTGTGAGTCAGCATTATACCGGCTCAAATTTTATTTGCCTCATAAATCGCATTAGAGCTCCCAAGATTAGCTCGATTAGTGCACGCAAAACACTGCCATCTACAAAAGGGCAAAGGCTTGCGATTCCGGTGGTTTATGGGGTGAAAGACAAGCACAAAATATACCCCCCCCCACATCCTCTTTTCACGCCCACCCCCACGCTGATCCAGAGATAAGTCAAAGTCAAGATGGGACGGAGATAGATGCGAAGTCAGCGGCGGTGACCCGAATTTCCCATTGAAGATAGTAACTGGAGGAAAATTCAGTTAACCCATCTGCAACCTCCTTGCAAATAACACAAAATTGAATGCATCGCGATGATCT